CACAGACCTTCCGACAGTGCCCGCTCCCTCAGCACAGACCCTCCGACAGTGCGGCGCTCCCTCAGCACTGACCCTCCGACAGTGTCCACTCCCTCAGCACTGACCCTCTGACAGTGCCCACTCCCTCAGCACTGACCCTCTGACAGTGCCCACTCCCTCAGCACTGACCCTCCGACAGTGCCCACTCCCTCAGCACTGACCCTCCAACAGTGCCCCCTCCCTCAGCACTGACCCTCCGACAGTGCGGCGCTCTCCCAGCACTGACCCTCCAACAGTGCAGCTTTGATGCTAATGATGCTGCAGACTGATGTGAATCTGCCCTCTCCACAGTGACTGAGGAGGAAGTCGAAGACCTGGAGGATGATGTGCAAGATATCCATCTTTGAACTACAGCCCAAAACCGGTAGGTCCTCATTCACACGAGGAGCCAATTGGCATGAACCAGAGCCTCATCCTGACCTGTCCCTGGGAGTGTTTGATGGGGGACAGTGCAGAGGGAGCTTTACTCTGTACCTAACCCCGTGCTGTCCCTGTCCCTGGGGAGTGTTTGATGGGGGACAGTGTAGAGGGAGCTTTACTCTGTATCTAACCCCATGCTTTCCCTGTCCCTGGCGAGTGTTTGATGGGGGAAAGTGTAGAGTGAGCTTTACTCTGTATCTAACCCCGTGCTGTCCCTGTCCTGGGAGTGTTTGATGGGGGACAGTGTAGAGAGACCTTTACTCTGTATCTAACCCTGTGCTGTCCCTGTCCCAGGGAGTGTTCGATGGGGGGACAGTGCAGAGGGAGCTTTACTCTGTATCTAACCATGTGCTGTCCCTGTCCCAGGGAGTGTTTGATGGGGGGACAGTGCAGAGGGAGCTTAACTCTGTACCTAACCCCGTGCTGTCCCTGTCCTGGGGAGTGTTTGATGGGGGACAGTGTAGAGGGAGCTTTACTCTGTATCTAACCCCATGCTGTCCCTGTCCCTGGCGAGTGTTTGATGGGGGAAAGTGTAGAGTGAGCTTTACTCTGTTTCTAACCGCATGCTGTCCCTGTTCTGGGATTGTTTGATGGGGGACAGTGTAGAGGGAGCTTTACTCTGTGTCTAACTCCATGCTGACCCTGTTATAGCAGTGTTTGAAGGGGGGACAGTGTCCTGGGACATTTCCTTTCAGTTTTAAGGAGGAGTGAGATTCCTGTTGCCTCTGACACTTCCCAGGGAGTGTTTTGTTACCTGCTGTCATGTCCTCCTTCCTGTTTCGTTGCAGGCTCCAGCCCTGAAGGGTATCGAGGTGGGATCGCTGACCATCTCCCATGCTCAACGTTGGCCATGCCTCTCTCCTGCTCCCTGAGCGACATTCCGTCTTTGGCTGGGATTCGGGGAGCGGGTGGGACCGACACTGAGCCATCGATGGCCTTGCGGTGGTGGGCCGGCGTGGTGGGCAGACTGGACAAAATGACAATGCGGGGGGGGGGATGGGGGGGAGGGGTGCGCGTTTCCTGAGCCTCCGGTAGGAACCAACTGGATTTGCCTGTCTGCCGTTACCTACTCCTGTTCATTTCTCCGCTGCTAATTGTCACCCTCTGCCTGTTTGGGGGTGGCCAGGGAGGAAGGATGGACTTGGAGGCCACACCATCTTCGTCCTGTGTGGAAGTCTCCAGATTGGCCAACTCGCATTCTTATGGCACTCGCCAGAGTGATGAGTTGCAAGCTTGCGATTCACCACACCATCCTGGGGCTTGAGAGTTGGCCTCCATGGTTAGATCGCCCTATTCAAGCTCTCAGTCCAGCATTGAGGTGAAATATTCCAACAGGGCTGCACTGGCCAGAGTCAGCAAGTCCCTTCATTCTTCAATGTTGAGAACGAATGGCTTCAGGGATCCTGCCTCACCTTAGGCCTCTCAGTGCACACAGCCCTTGCTTAAAATCAAACTGTCCTCCAGCAGAAGGCCACCCCCTCCTAAATCACCCATGACAGAAGGCTCCCCCACCTCCTCCAGCTTAATTTAAATCTGATTAGCTCTTGTCACCCCTCCTCTGTCACTTTTTCCCAAGTTAGCCTCACCTTTTGTGAGTTTGAACAATCACCTCCTGAACTTCCCTTTCCCAAGCGGTATCGATCGCAAGTTGTCCAGTCTCTCTGCATTCCCAGCATCCCTCATCCGTCCAAATCCTCTCCAAGGCCTTTGGCGTCCTTCCTAAAGAACTGGGACCGCAGGAGAACGTAGACCCTCAACATTTCTGCGCCTCTCCACCCAATTATTTTCACTTTATGTCGGCCATTTAGTTTGGTCTCCTTTAACCTGAGACGTGGAGCCCGAGGTGTGGGCCTGACGTTTGTCACAAAGGGACAATCTTTGAGCTTCGGGAGCCTTCCCTGACTTCTATGGCCATCGTTTTTGAGCTCGTCTGTGTACATTTTCTTCCTGATCCCCTAAAGGAGGGTGGGTTACGAAGTAAAATCCAGCTTCAAAAAGCGTCCGTCGTATTATCCCTCCAGCCCTTGGCAGCTGGCCCGAGGCATTTGATCGGGATGCACTGGCTCGGGCCTTGTCCATGAGTTTTAATAAAGTGTCAATGGTGATTTAATTCCTTGTCTCTTTTTTTAACTGGAGAAATCCCAAACCCCCTCGAGAGTGACAGTGACCCCCCTCACACCTTAGTAAGCACAACTCAAGAGGTCAAAACTGGAGACTGCTGCACAATCGTCAACATTGCTCCTCTCGTGGGTGTGGGACGTGGACATTGCTGGATGAGCCAGCGTTTATTGCCCATCCCTAGTTGCGTCCCTCTATTCTGGAGAAGGTGGTAGTGAGCCACCATCTTGAACCGCTGCAGCGCCCCCCCCTTCATTGATGCAATAGAGTTTGACTACTTTCTGGAGGACTGTTGAGCTGGGGGATGGAGGTAAACACGCAGAGGGAAAAAGCATCTGGGCTCTCAATGAAATGAACCCTCACGATACCATTGGAGAGGTGAGTACAGGAACACGAGGTGCTGTGGGTTCACGCGCGTTATTCGTTGATACGGTGGGAGGGCCGTTTGCAAAGCATGCGAGGTCCTGAGCTTCACCAACTGAGGCACTGAGCTCAAAAGCTTGGAGGTCACACTGAGCCATTATAAACCTCTCCTGGTTCTCCCCTCACCTCCCCCCCAACCCACGACACCCACCTCAGGAAGGAGGCGAGGGTCCCTCCAGAGGGAGATTGACCAGAACGGTTCGAGCGGGCGGGGGAAAAAGAAGAAACCTTTGGATTTTAGCCACTAGTTCAAGGGGTCGGAGAAGCTGGGCCTTATTCCCCCTCGGAGCGAAGGAGATGGCAGGAGGGGAAGGGGGGTGCAAGGTTTGATCGAGGCGGTCACCATGGCGACGGGTTCGGGTAGGATGGGGTAAGAGAAGCCTGGGTCCCATTGGCTGAGAACTGGGGGAGGTGGGGGAGCACAGATTAACGGTTGTGAGGGTAGGAGGGGGCTTGTGGGAATGTGAAGGAGAAAGATTTCCTCCGCGAGTGGCGATAAGCTGGAACTTATTACCCACGAGGGTGGAGGGGAGACACTGAGTGATTTCAAAAGGGAATTGGATGACCCCCTTTGCGTGGGGTGGTTGGAGGCGGGGGGGATAAGGAACTCCCCAGGGCTGTTTGGGGGAGGGGGCAAACTGATTGGATTGGGGGCATACTTTACCCCTTGGACTGCTGGGTATTGGTAGGACCAACCCTCATTGGTAAGGGGTGCAAGAGGATTTTGGAAATATGCAGTAGAGCCCACAACCCAGGCCTCTCCTTAACGCAGTGGCTCCCCCTGGTGATCACCGGCGGTACCTCTGAACCCCCCCAAACCCCCCCAAAACTCCAACCAACCCTGCCCATCCATCCAGCCCTCGGGATCATTGGATTGGGCCGCACAGGAACTGGGGGGTAGAAAAGAACGAGCCTTGGATGTTTTGCGTACGGTCGGGCTTTTATTAAATTCTACGCTGCTCCACCGGCGCCAACCCGCGCTCCCCACCCCAACCGGCTGGGCCTCCCAGAGCCGGCGCCCTCTGCTGGGGGCGGCTTCTCCTCCTGCCATCCACAGCTCAGCGTGGGATTGGGATCGGGGTGGGGGAAGGTGGTGGGAGCCTGCTGACATGAGCGGTGCTCCCGGTTGGGAGTTTGGCTCAGGGGAGTCGGGAAACGCGGTTAAAAGCCACGGTGGAGGCCCAGCACCTTGGCAGCCTTGGTGCGAACACACGGCGAGACGTCGTGGAGCATCATGATGATGGCAACGCAGACGTTGTCGTCGGTGCTGGCCTCCACGTACTCCTTGGGCAGGTTCTGCAGGATGAAGCCGGCCAGGATGACGGCGTTGCCCCGGATCTCGGGCAGCATGCTCTTGAAGAAGGACATGCTGCTGTTGAGGTAGAGGCCGATCCTGTCGGAGAACTCGCTGACGATGACCTTGCTGAGCTCAGCGATGAACTCCCAGTACCGCACGTTGGCCTGTTCCAGCAGCTCGCCCTGGAAGATGGCACCGGGCCCCTCCGGGCACAGGTGAGGGCCTACCATCTGCAGCACCGACTTGCAGGCCCTCACCACGTCGGGGCTGTTGTCGTTGAGGTGCAGCACCAGGCTCACCAGGCTGGAGTGCACGTGCTCCAGGAAGGTAGGCTCAGGCTGCCTGCCCCCGAAGCGCGCCAGACTCCCAAAGACGGAGAAAGCGGCTGCCCGCAGCTTCTCGCTCTCGTTCTCGAAGAACGGCTCCACGGTGCCAATGATGCTGGGCAGGATGGGCCGCACATGGGCCGAGTCCAGCTGCGCCAAGACCTTGACCAGGCCCGCCATGGCCTCCAGCACGATCAGGTCATTGAGCTCCGTCTTCTCGTCCATGCCGCCCACCATGGCAGCCATCAGCTTCTCGGCGTAGAGCGGGATCTCCTGCGGGGCACCCAACGCCACGTTGCCCAGGCCCCGGATGGAGAGCCAGTGGATGGTGGGTGACACATCGTCCAGGCTCCGAAGCAGGCTGCTCACCAGCGACTCGGTCACCTTCAGCTCCTGGACAGCGGGCAGTGCCAACAGCTCACCGAAAAACACCGCCACGGTCACCCGCTGGTGCTCGTGGATGTTGCTCAAGATGGGCGCCAGGAAGCGGATGGTGTCTGGCAGGTAGGAGGCGCCGTGCTTGCCCGAGGCCCGGGCCAACAGCGCCACCCCCCGCTGGTGGTCCTCGGGGCTCTTCAGGAGCTCCCAGCCACCCTCGTCCTCCATGATGGTGGCCACCTCCTCCGTCTTGCCACGGGACAACAAGAGCTTGAGGGCCTCCAGCGAGGAGTCCCAGGCGTTGAGGTTGGGCGTGTTCTGCAGCTGCAGGGAGAGTTTCTTCTTCTTGGAGACACCCCTGCCCTGGAGCTCAGACATCCTCTCATTCACGATAAAGCTCAAGTAGAGCAGCAGGGTGCCGAAGAGCTTGGGGTACAGGTTGATCACTGCCTCCACGGACTCAGGGTTGGAGACCATCTCGTTGAGGGCGTAGATGACCGCCACGGTCTCCGAGGTGCCGGTGGAGGGTTGGCGCTTGGCGCTGCTCTCCTTGCGGTCGTCGTGGGACAGGTAGTCATTGATCTTGCCCAGCAGGTAGTCCATGGTGGTGGTGGCCAGTTTGGCCTCGCGCGCCAACGACTGCCAGATGGCGCTGGTGTACTTGTCGTAGGGCAGGGGCCGGAAGAGGAGGTAGGAGAGGACCCCGGGCAGGCACTGGGAGGTCAGGATGGAGATGAAGTGAATGACCGAGAACCTGACCTGCTCCAGGGTGATGGTCTGCATGCGCGACTGCAGGTTGCTGAGGATCTCGGGGATGTGGTCCTTCAGGCCTTCGCCGTGCTTGCGCACCAGGGTGTTCATCACCACCGAGGTGGCGCTGGAGCAGGTGGCGTGGTAGTCCGAGAGGCCCTCGAAAAGGGCAAACAGCAACGGGTGCAGCTGGTCGCGGGGCAACTTGTTGGAGATGATCTTGGCGATGTCATAGCAGATCTGGAAGAGGATGTGGCTGTCGGGATTCTGCAGCTGTTCTTTAATGTTGCCGAGGTGGTCAACAAGGTTGTCTGGCTGATCGGCCACACAGCCCTCGTACCGCACCTGGATGTACAGCAGGTTGTACAGGCTATCCATGGCCATGTAGCGGATGGACAACACCGGGTCAGCGCAACGGGGCACAAAACACCCGACCAGGAGGCCCAGGTTGTGGAAGGTGCTGACGTTAACCAACTTGAAGCGGTCCCGATAGAAGATGAGCAGGGCCAACATGGCCTCCACGGCCCTCTCCCGCTCGTGGTCCTTGGTGGAGATCATCCACTCCTGCACGTGCTTGAAAATGAAATCCAGGCCCTCGGAGCTCAGGTTCTGGCTCAGGAACTCCTTGAGCAATTCGTGGAGGGCGGTGATGGTCTCCGTGTGGAGCACCTCGCGCTCCTTCAGCTTCCTGGTGTCCTTACGCTTGTCGTTGTCCAGGGGCGGGAAGCTGAAGACGGCCTCCAGGCAGGTGCGGATCAGGTCCGACGCCTCCACCTCGTTGAGACGGGGCTCCAGGCGGATGAGGTGGGTGCAGGCATTGATGGCAGACTGGCGCACCCTGGTCTTCAGGTGGGTCTTGGACTCGCTGGCAATCAGGTCCTGCATGTAGGAGAGGACCTCCTCGCGCCGGCTGAACTTGAACAGGTGCTTGCCCTTATTGGCGTACACGGCCTTGGCGATCAGGGTCACAGCCTTGATCAGGGTCAACTTGATCATCAGGTCTTTGGTCTCCACCCTGATGCCCAGCACCTTGGTGTTGGAGAGGCTGAGGATGTGGTCGAGGATGTGCATCTCCACCCGCTGAAGGATGAGGCCCTCGGGGGCATACAGCGCCACGTAACCATAGCATAGGATGAGGGTGCTCTTAACCCGCTCCATATCGCCGTCCAGCTTCTCCTTCAGGATGTTGAAGAAGCTTGCCGTCTTCTTCACAATGTCCATCTTGACAAAGTCATCCAGCTTGGCCAGCGTGTCGTCCAGGTGGGTCATGGCGCAGAAGCCGATGCCCGTGGCCAAGCCCTCGCGCTCCAGCGCCTCATTGTGCTGGACGCTGAGTAGCATCTCCTGCAGCTCACTGTTAATGACGTCCTTGTTGTTGGTCTGGCCCAGCACGATGCCCACGCACTTGTAGAGGAACGCCTTCTCCCGCGGGTAGCTGTGGTAGTTGTGGATGTGCCGGGTCATCTCCTCGCTCAGCTCCCACGTCCACTTCTCGTCGGTGATGGTCTCCAGGGTGCGGGACAGGAAGAAAAAGAGCTTGTCTTCCCACAGCTTCTGGGGCAGCGTGTCCTCCCGGTGCTCGGCCAGGAACTGGCTGAGCTGAGGCAGCTCCTCGTCCCAGAGTTTCACCACATCCAGGTGGATGTTGGGGCTGAGAACCTGCAGCAGGCTCAGGGCCGCTAGGCCCCTGCCTTGGCCGCTGTAGGGCAAGGCAGAGACTGCCAGCAGGCGCGCCAAGAGGGTGTGGGGTTTGGGCAGCCCCAGCCTCTCGTTGTAGTTCAACAGCACATACTGCAGGCTCTGCCGCTTCTTCCGGTTGCCCACCTGCTCCAGGCAGCGGCAGACCACCGCCAAGGCATTGGTGTGCTGCACCGGGGTGACGAACTCCAACAGGAAGGGCCACAGCACGTCCTCCATCCTGTCCAGCGTCACCAGGAAGCTGAGGATGCCCTCACAGAGCTCGCGCAGGTCTTCGTCCCTCACCTCGTCCAAGTCTGGGGCCTGGTGGTGGTGATGGTGCCCGGGTCCTTCCTCGGGGACCAGGGTGCACTGCTGGACGAGGAAGTCCACCAAGATGGAGCCTCCTTCCAGCTGCAGGTAACCGTGCTCGCCCATGGTGCTGATGACCTGGGCGGTCACCTTCTTGACCTTGTTGTCGCCGTCCTGCAACGACTGCTTCATGCCGCTGACGATCAGTGCCTTCTTGCTCTCCAGGGCCTTGTACCCGCTGCTCACCACATGGTTGAGCACTGTCAGCGTCCCCACCCGCGCCTTGTCGTTGTTGCTGGATAGCTTCTGCAGCAGGAACTTGACCAGGGAGTCGATGGAGATGTGCGACAGCACGGTGAAGCACTGCAGCACCTCCTGCTGGTTGCGGGTACTGAGCGAGTCCTGGCAGTCAACAGGTAGGCAGATCTGGTGGTGCAGCTGGGGCAGCAGACTGTCCATCTGGGTCTCGGGCACGTGGCTGGTGACTTCGACTGCGGCCTCCAGGATGTGGCGCAGGCACTGGGTGATGTGGTAGGGCTCGCAGCGCTTCTTGTAGAGGCCCAGGATGCTGATTATGAGGCGCGGCAACTCGTCATCCATGCGCTCAGGGGGCAGGAGGTGCACCATGTGACTGAGGGCCACCACGATGGCTGAACGCAGCTTGGTGTCCTTGTTACGCAGCCACGTGCCAAATAAGACCTTGTAGGCGGCGTAGATCTCGGGGGCGAAGGCATCCCGGGTCAACACGGGCCTAGAGGCCTTGTCTGCCGTTGCCAGGTACTCCAGGATGCTCTTGCTGAAGAGGCCCATGGCCGAGGTGAAGGCCCACTTCATGTTGTCCTGCTTGATCGTGTGGAACATGGGCAGCATGGTCTGCAAGGTGGTGGTCAGGTAGGGCACGATGCCATGCACGTTGGCCACCGAGAGGTTGGCCAGGGTCTGCACCACAAAGAACTGCGGCACCACGCCCGGCTGCAGCTTCTGCAAGATGTCCTCCAGGATCTCGTCGGTGAACCGGGAGCCCAACGCCACCAGCACGTTGCTGGCCGCCTCCTTCCAGCCCAGGGCCGACTCGCTGGACTTGATCATCTCCTCGGACGCCAGGTTGATGATCTTCTTGGCCAGCGGCTGGCCGAGCTGGCTGATGTTGTCGCGCACGATGCGCTCCATGCACTGCAAGATGACGGTGCGGTGACCCTGCACCAGCTGGCTGTGCTTCAGCAGGAAGTCGAAGCAGGCGCTCAGCACCTGCTCGGTATTGTGGCAGCCGAGCTCGTACAGAGACTGCGAGATCTGGCGCCGCACGCCGTCATCCTTGTCGAAGGCCGCGTCCGTCAGCGCCACCAGGGAGGCCTCCGCCTTGCACGACTCCAACTTGCACACTTCCATGGCTTGGGGGGCAGGCTGGCTTGTGGACGCTCTGAATTGTGGCCCTGCCCCGCTCTCTCTCTCTCTCAAAATGGCCGCCGTCGGCCAACGTTGTCTTTTTGACGCCGCTTGCCAATTCTGCTCCCACGTCCAAAGGAATAAGAGATGGGCCCCCTCCCCCCCCCGCCCCCCCCCCCCCCCCTCCCCGGCCCGCCGCTGCCTTCCGTTGACGTAGGCCCCGCGGATGAAACCGGTACCAGGCCAAAGTCTGTCCTCACAGGCCCCAGTTCATCAACCCCGTTGGCCGTGCCACTCTCCCCTGGGCTCTCTCCTGGGGCCGGCCAGCTCCATTGTGAGATCACCTTCAACTGTGAGCTTGCTGGGCTGGGCTGTGTTTTATTGCATTGCATTGTGACGTCACCCTTACCCCAACACCAACCCCCCCCCCCCCCCCC